TCAGTTCACAAGCTTTCGATCATACTTCAAATTAATAACCAAGTGAATACTTGATGGAAAGATGAAGAATTCCCATCCAACTATTAAAGGTTAGGGACTAAATATGAATTTTCTTTTAATACTTGTTTGAGCCACCTTTTTGTAAAATGAGAATGAAAAATATAGTCGTTATTGGGGTCCACACAAGAGATAGGAAATCTGAATTTAAATATTGATGTGATGGATAACGGTCATATTTTTCATTTTAATGAGAAAATAAGGTGGCTCAAACATGGGCTAAATAAGTAGAAAGCATAAATGTCTTCTTTCATAAAAATTAACCAAACTAGTTTAGAGGCTACTTTTAGTGATTTTAAAATTTTTCAATGATTTTATTTCAATTGTAACGAGGGCCGTCGTACTAGATACCTATTTTGAAACTAAAGCTATAATATAGTATTAAAATTCGCCCTTAAAATTGATCTATAAAATAAATTATTCGAAGTGTTCAAACTTTAAATTATAAACGTAACATAGAGAATTGTAACCTCATAGTTTCAAATTTTTCGACATGTTTTACATATTTTTGAGTTTTTTCTAGCAAAGTCGACAAAGCTCTAGTTTGATAGTATAATTAATATATTAAATATTTATTTTTGACAGCAAGAAATACTGAAATATATTATAATTGTGTCTAAATATAAGAATCTAAAAGAAAAGATGCTTCTCCAATGATCAAAACCACATAGAAAGATTCTCCATAGTCAAAATCATAGAATCTCATTTTTGTGATTGTGCCTCTTTACCCATTTGTCGTAACCCAAAATCAAAAGGGTTTTGGTGAGGATCTAAATGGACGGTGATTGATGAAAGGAAATCTTGATCTTATTTTTCATTATTTATATTACATCCAACATAAAACTTTATACGAAAACGATTTTTTTAAATAAATACAACATCCATATCCATATCTATTTGGTATGAGCAAATTATTTGAACAGAAATGGATTTGTCAGAAAACCAACAGAATACTCACATGGGGTGGGTCCCATGTGAGTAAAATATTGAAAAAAAAAATCCCACCCCCACCCGCCCTCTCCCCCAAATGTTGTGTGTAGTATGTAGGTACAGAAATTTGAATTCCTGTACCTATTGCAAAGTCATAGACGATGTGCAACTATCAATCTATATCACTTCGGAATATAGTCTAAGTCGGTGTTTAAGTATAGGATGTGTTAAGAGCATCTTCAATATAATACATTGTTTTAAAAATTTGTAAAGAAAGTAAAAATAAACGATGAAATACTCTCCCATGCAAGCTCACAAGGATTCCATTATGCTGCTTGACAAACAAAAAAATAGACATAACAAAATTAATATTTCTTATTCATATCTAGACGGATTTTGTTTTTATTGTTTTGAAAACGTCCAAAACGTATTTTGAAAATTTTGGCTTGATTATAATTGAAAACACCCAAAACGACACATTTTCAAAAATTTATTGTAAATTTTTGGCTTATTTTCAGAAGCGCGTTTTAGAAAATAGAAAAAAAAACGCGTTTTCACTGTTTTGGAAAATCGAAAACAGAAAACGGCTTGAAAATGGTAAAGAGAACCGACCCTAAAATTTTAGTTTTCACGATTCCGGCCTAGTAACACTAACAGTGTTGGAGGATATTCTATATAGTATATCAAAAAAGATTTTCAACTCTTCCTCTTCTTTAATAATTTTTCCCGTGTAGTATGTATGAGTCATTCTTATCGAACATGTCATTAATGTTCAAAAAAATGTCAATTTGGCATAAAGTTAATCATTTTTTTTCCTTTGAAATGCGGCGAAATGAAAAGTAAAGGGTAACTAGATAAGAATTCAGGGTTCATTGGTAACTACTTGCGATGGTTTGAATATCTAAGGGAATATAGAGATGAAGACAGCAGATCTGGACTCCGGATATAAAGCCAAGTTTTCTTCGGATTTGAATAAGTTCCCGAATCTCCTCTTGTTAAACAAGTCGAAAAAGAACGATGACCAAGGTAGATGTCAAGAATATATTAGTGTGACAAGTAACTTACGTGATGATCCCTTACTCACTATCTCGGCAATCTGTCCAAAAGTGATGCAGGGACAAAACCAAGTGATCAAACCTAGTTTACAACATAAGAAAAAAAAAAGTTTAGCATTTTCACTAAATAATGAAACTCTCAAATTAATTTGCAGAATTTGAATCAGTACTCGTACAATTTGCAGGATCGTCACAGCAGTGGCAAAGACCGGTTGACCACCTCGAAGGTACCCTTTCGGGGACTACACGGCCGGGGGAGAGAAGTGGTGGGGCATTAGGCTGTTTAGGAATGTATTCGGGAACTCCGTTGGCAGGGATGGATCCCGAATAGCTGTCAGCATGGTGGTTCCGATACATTTTGTGAACTGATGGAAAAGAGTTGGTGTGTAGGGATAAATGTCAAAGTTTATTTGTATATATACACACCAATTATGCTACATGTACATGGATTTTTGTCCGACAGTTTGATGGATTGTCAGTTGGCACAATTTCATTGGATGTTGGATAAAAAAAAAAACTTCAAACCTCATCACTTGTAAAAATTCCGATAAATGCAGCCTGTACAAGTAGCGCTTAATTTATTTACACACGAGAGTTGGTCTCAAGGCACATGGTAACCAAGAGGAACTACCGGCAAGTTCATAAATTGAATCAAAACCTTCACATGAATCGAAGCTAGTTTATCCTTTATTTATTTTTTTTTTAAAATAATTATTGGAAGACTGGTAGTAAATGGAGATATGCAAATCGGCTCAAATAATTGTTTATGTGAATCTGCATGCGTGCAGAGTTAAGAAAGACCTGTACATGTGACTAGGGTCTTTGTATGGTACATAAATTAACAAGTTTGATGCCACTTGAAGCACGAGTTATTAAATTATTTGAAGAGCCACATAATTAAATTAAATTTGAAATTGACAATGACTTAATCAATATGAGCTTGTAAAATTTCCTCATTTAGAAAGTTCAAAAGTGATCAAAAATCAAAGAAAAACTACACCCAGCGCATGATGACGAGTATGTCTAGGATGAATGAAACGTAGTCCCAAACGGGATAAGTTTAATTTTTTACATCTTTAGCTGAGGTCAGCTTGAGCTCCCTTACGTACATGATACATTTTATCTTCTTTTTCAATGAAACGCGGCATATCTAGTGGTTTAAAAAAATTGTGCATAGCTACTCTTGAAAAATTTATTAATAAGTAGCTTTAAAAATAATTTATCTGTTCTGTTTCCCAAAGTTTAAAAATACTAAATTACTTATTTTAAAAGTAATTTTACCTTATCAAGGATGTGTCGCATTTATTTCCCTGACTTGGTCCCTCGAATTTCTTACCACTGTCCCTTTGAACTTCTTCCGACGATGTTTAAGTCAAACTTCATCGGTCGAACGTAAGCAGATTGAAGATTATTATTAACCCAATGTTCGGTATTCATTATTTCAAAATTACATTTTATTTCTATTTTATTTTTAACAACACATTTTTTAATAAAATAATATTATACGTAAATTCAAATTTTTTTCTTATTCTTTTACTATACATTTTCCATCAAATCACTATTCCGGAATGGATTTTTGAAAATATAAAATAAAATAAATGGGGCTCAAGAATGCTCTAATCATTATATTTGAAAGTACTCCTATAATTAACATTGTTCAGATTTCTAAAAGAACGCAAATCTCCCGAATTGACTCAACTACTAGGTAAAATATTCAATATAAAACCTTAAATTAGTTAAATATTTACGTGGTTCGGTCCATTGAACATGCTATTTAATTTGTAGGTACAAAAGAATACAAAGTGAAGCATTATTGTTGACGATAGAAATCTCATAAACAAAATTTTCTCACTTAGTTAGAGTTTTCACCTCCAAAACTCACTATTCGGAGCAAGAAAAGAAATGACTATTTGAAAGTGAGATATTTGAATTTACATGAGTTTCTCCTATCAAATGGGGGTATTTGTAGATTTTTTGGGGGCTTTTAATCATTTTAGAAAATGACAGGTGACGATCGTTTAGTGGTGGATTGATAACTAATTATGATATGTTTACATTTTATTCATTTACTTACGTGTCATGGGTTCATTGGCCTTTAAGTCACGCTTTAAACATTTACTCATGTATATACTTTTGTAACAGTGTTTTTGCCAGGAAGGGAAAAGAATTCGTCTTTCAATTGTGCGAGCCTTTTACAATTTGCGTATCGCTTACACTTGTGAATTGGGAATGAGCACGCGGAATGTATTTCTTGATTCAACAATTATTCGCAAACAATTCAATCAACTACATAGGGTTCACACAGATGCACACAGAGTTGGACCAAAAAAAATTATAAAAACCGAAAATGACACCAAATTTTGACAAGCAAAAATTGCAATTATGTAAGATTGATCCAAGAGGACTAATTCATCTTCTCATTCCAGAAGTTATAATTGGAGCTACTGTTACTCCACGCTGTTGCCTATCCAAGTTGGCTTCCCAACCTTCAATTTCAAAGAATCATTTAATCAGCCCTCATACATAGATATCATGTCCAAATGAATGGATAGAGAAATTCTCCAATAAGATAAATTATGCTACTAAGGCCAACTTTTTTTTTTTTTTTTTTTT